TTTTCTGCGGCAAACTTCATGAAGGCGTTCGTGCGCGCGAAGGCGGAGCCCCTGGAGGACGTGAGGGCCTACCTGAAACACGCGGAGTACAAGCTGCAGCACGACGACACGGCGGGCGGACTCGAAATGGTCATGAACGCCCTCGACTACATTTCGGAGCGTTTTGTGATGTTTCAAGTCGAGGACCACACCGACGACCGCGTGGCAAAGCGATTCAAGCTCTACCAACAGAAGAGTCTCCTGACTTCCCGCCCGTTCAAGCAGGCGGTAGCTGATGTGGCGGCTATGGATCGCGCGGAGGGCGCGTACGCTCGTTCCCACCGCGTTGGAGGGCATGGGCCGACGGGATACACCCCAAAGCGTGGACCGCCGCCCACGGGTGGCTTCCATGGCTTCCGTGGGGCGTGCTTCCGTTGTGGCCAGCCGGGTCACGTGGCAAGCGGCTGCCCGAGGAACGGGAACGGTGGCCAAGGTCCCGCACCCGTGGTGTAGGGGCGGGCCTTGAGCGGTTGCGCCTTGTGCGCGTGGCACGGTGCACGTCATGTGCAAAATCCGTGGGCAACCCAAAGGGGTTAGCGATGGCGATTGGCCAGCCCTAGTGAGGGGTGATTGATAGGCTAGAGGCCTAGGATGCGGGGGAGGGAATTACAAACCTCTTGGCCCTTAGTATTAGCCCATGCGGTAGGGGCAAAGGCATGCTAGGAGCATGGCAATGTATGGCCCGTTTCATATAAGGGCGGACAAATTAAAGGAGCGATTTCTGATTTTGGCTCATGATGAAAAAAAAAAAAAAAAAAAAGGGAGAGAGAGTGAGAGCAAGAAGAAGATGAAGGAGAAGAAGAAGAGAGAAGGAGAGAAAGGGAGATGGAGGCAAAAAAAAAAAAAAAAAAAGGGGCGAAGATATGTACCGTACGACCCCAATCAATGGCCCTTGCACTCATCGGACGGGCAGCCATTGCCTTGGGTGAGCAAGAGTGAGAACAAAAGAGAGGGTGTGTGTGTGTATGCGAGAATGAAGAGAGGCAGAGAGAGAGAGAGAGGGAGAGAGAGAGGACACGAGAGAGTTCCTTCCCTCTCCTCCTGTTGTGGCCACGTGACCACGCAGAAAGACTCACACCCGCACCTTGGTTGGTGGATTGAAAAAAAAAAAAAAAAAAACCCGTACAATGCGGATGCTAGGGGTGACAAATGGTATTCGAATGGGTCAACAAGCACGCATTCATCACATGCACCGCCATTTCACGCACGAAGGCTGGAAATCATATCCATAGGAACCTCATTTCGCATTCCCGCTCCATTGTCATTCCGCAAACATGCAGCGGCAATACGCCATGAGGGGTTCGACGACGACGATCCGTACGAATTCGCCGTCACAGACAAGACCGTCACGCAAATGCGCGGGCGGCTTCGCGCAACCCTCGCATGGTGGGGCTCGTGGTGCCCAAGTAGCCTCATCCTCTCGGTCATCGCCAACGGCTACTGGCTACCATGGAGCCACAACCCCCCACAACCGTTTCACGAGCGCAACCATCTCGGCGCGCACACACACGCGGCATTCACACGCACTGCCATTCGCGAACTGACAGATACCGGAGCGGCGGTAGCTACCCCAGCAGCGGAACTAACATGCATCAGCCCACTCAACGTGGTTGAGCAACGTGACAAATGCAGGCTTATTCTCGACCTCCGGAAAGTGAACGCGCAACTAATCATCCCCAAATTCAAATACGAAGGGCTAAGCCGCGTTGCCGACCTGGCACGCACAGGCGACTGGATGTTCTCCATCGACCTCAAATCCGGATACCATCACATCGACATACACCACTCATGCTGGACATTCCTCGGCTTCGAATTTGAGGGGAGCACGTACTCTTTCCGCTCATTGCCCTTCGGCCTCGCGACAGCACCATTTGTCTTCACACAACTCATCAAACAACTAGCCAGGCGCTGGCGCGAACAAGGCATCCGAGTTGTACCCTATGTGGACGACATCCTGTTTTTATGCAAGTCCAAGGCACATGCACAAGCAACGTGCCAGATGATAATCTCGGACCTCAAGATGGCGGGCCTGGTAATCAACGCGAAAAAGTCGCAGCTGTCACCGTCACAACACCTGCGATTCTTGGGCGTCGAGCTGGATACCAACTCCGGACAATTCTCCATTGGCACCGATTGACGAGCATCACTTCATGCACAAATTCTCAATCTCCTGGGCGCAAGCAAAGCACGTCGGCAGGTCCCAGTCCGCCACCTGGCTAGAATCACTGGCACGCTCGCGTCAATGGCTGTCGCGCTAGGTGCCACGGCGCGCGCATTCAGCCACGCCATGTTACAAGCGATCAACGACGCGCCATCCTGGGGAAGCAGTGTGAGCATTTCCCCGTCTGTGGCCGAGGAGCTGCAATTCTGGCTTGAGGAGTTCGACAGATTCAACGGCGCACCATTCCACGTCCGGAACAGTTACGACGCCGTAATCCACGTGGACGCCAGTTCCCACAGTTGGGGTGCCACTCTGCTCACCTTCCCTGGCGAACTCGAAGAAGCCAGTGCAGCCATGCCAGAACCATTGCACGCAACGTCCAGCACCCGACGGGAAATCGAAGGTGTCCTATGGGCCCTCCGAACGTACGCGAACAAGGTCCGACGGAAACACGTGCTCGTGAGGGTGGACAACCAAGGGGTGTTCTTCATCCTTCGCAAAGGCGGTTCCCGCACCCCCGACCTGACCAACGCTTGCAAGGACATCATTCGCACCTGCATGGAGCTCGGCACTCGACTAATTGTCGAATGGATCCCGCGTGAGCTTAACTCCCATGCCGACGAGCTGTCGAAACTGATCGACCATGACGATTACTCACTGAAGCAACCATGGTTCCGAATCCTTGATCGCCGCTGGGGACCCCACTCCATCGATCTCTTCGCGAACCATCGCAACTCGCATCTGCCACGATTCTGCTCAAAGATCCCTCACCCAGAGGCTACTGCGGTTGATGCATTCTCATGCTCATGGACAACCGAGAATGGCTTCGCGTTCCCACCACCCCAGCTGATCCCAGCAGTCATCCACCACGCACAACGCACCCACGCATCACTCACCCTAATTGCCCCACACTGGACGGGGGCAAACTGGTGGCCACTCTTACAACCCTCCCCACCAAACTGGGCCCCGCACATCAGAGCGCACATTCCCCTGACGCACGGCAGCCAATGTCTAGCAGTAGGAACGCACCGCACTGCATTCTCAGGCACAGGACTGCCTCATAGCACAATCATTGCACTACGAGTGGTCTTCAACTAACCCGCCCATACGCCTGTGCGCAGACGTGTTGCCGAAGCTACAAGTCCAGCTTCTAAAGATGCTCTCCCAGTCTCTGGCCGATTCAACAATCCGAACATATGAGCCATACTGGGTCAAGTTTCGAGCCTTTTGTGCAAAGGTGAACCTCCCATTCCTCCCCACGGCGGACATGACCCTCGCGCTGTACCTGGTGTACGCGATCCAACACAAAGCCACCTTGTCCATGGTACAACTCACATGCTCAGCCGTGAGCTTTGCACACCGCATGACTGGGAGCATCTGCCCAACGATCGGACCATTCACCACTCAAGTACGCGATTTCGCAAAAAGGCACTGCCCTCGCCCCATGCGAGTGAAGGAGCCTGTCTCGCTGCAACAAGTCCACGACATGTCTGCCAGCTACCTGCAATCCGACAACCCAGGAGAGTTCCAAAAGGGGCTAATCCCCATCCTCATGTACACCGGATTTTTAAGATACTCGGACCTCATCGTCATCGAGTGGCAAGACATCCAGTTCGAGAACGAGGTCATGTGGATTCTAATTCCGTACTCCAAGACGGACCAAGCTGGAAGGGGCACATGGATACCCATCGCCGCAACTCATGACCCCTTTTGCCCCGTCCGCTGCACCCGACGACTCATCCAACTTGCGGGGTACAACCAGCAGTCCGCGGGGCCACTTATTCGAGTCTTTGGACGCGGTTCACCCCAAAGTGGCCAAGCAAGGCCGCCATCATACCCGACGATCCGAAACTGGTGTAAAGAAGCGTTCGGGAGGATTACCCAGTTGCAATGAGAACGATGCCAAATGATCAGTATAAGAAAGCAAGCTTTCTAAATTTGTTATTGTAGAAACAACCTCACAGCTAAAGACAGAATAATAGAAAGGCTTCGAGCATTGGCAAGAATAGCTAACTTGATGGATGCACCACACATGGCTCGCCCAAGACTGCTGCACAAGGCCTTCAGCGCAGCAACCGTATCGGAATATTGGAGAGAAAAAAAAGGATGCCGACAAGGCAAAAAGAAAAACCACAATGCTCAACACGGCCTTGCGCGGCACACCGGCAACAGAAGCTTCCGATCTGGGCCTGCGTAAATTGATCTGTGCTGATGAAATCTGCATTGCCTCAGGCCGGCACATGAAGCTTTGTCTCCTGCCCCTTTCGCTCCTCCCCTCCACTGCCCTTCTCCCCAATCTCTACTGCAATCCATCTCTACTGCACTCAGCCCCATATGTATTCCATCAATCTCATATGCCCTCTGTCCCTCTTTCTCCGGTTCGGCACTAGCAGCCAGCTACAGCTGGACCGGAAGCAGCGGAGAACAATCGGGGAGACGAGAACAAAAGGCACACAGACGCGCATGCAACCACACACACACACAACCACACATGCACGCCGGCACACACTCTGCTCGGCCCACATGAGTGGTGGTGCCAAAACAGGAAAGCTCAAACGGTTGCTTACTGCCTCTAGTAAAACACCCTGTGTGAGTGGTGCTGTGGGAGTGTGCTGAGTGGTGAAATGAACTTCCCGGGGGAGCAACATAACAGGGTGCAGTTTGCAGTGCAGTGTGCTTGTCAAAACCACGTGCTGCTGCCGTGGGGGGTAGTGCTGGTGTGGGTGCTCCTGTGCCTGCTCTGCTGCCCCTTTAAAGGCTGCTTCGTTAAAAAAAGGGCGTGCTTCAGTAAAAGGATTTGTCACTTGAGATGGCTGGGAGGGCTCTTTTGCCGGCCCAGGAACTCATAGTTGATCTCAGCCAGTTGGGAGAGGTTCTGCAAGAGAATATGAAAGGGGGAGAGCATAGGGAGGAAGGGAGGGAGGGTAAGGAGCAGAGTGAGAGACGAGAGCATGTACTTTGGAGGGCTGTGAGAAAGGGCATGGGATGAAAAGAACTTGCTACACGGCTCAAGACTCGGAAAGACGGCTGTGAGAGAGGGCATGGGGCACCACGCGCCAACACACACACAATCATAGAAAAACCAATGCACCCGCGTACGGCATGAGTGTAAACCAGCCCATGCCCCAAAAGTAGCAACAGAGGTGACTTTTGAGTCGACTCAAACGGCACGAGTGTAAACCAGCCCATGCCCCAAAAGTAGCAGCAGCAGAAGCAGCATCAGCATCCGGATCCGGATCCTCATCAGACTTTTGAGACGTCTCAAAAGCCATCAGCAGCGCCGGCATTAGCATCACCATCACCACCATCATCACTGTCACCATCAGCATCACCATCACCACCACCATCACCATGAGCATGAGCATGAGCACGGACCTTGAAGGAGAAGTTGGTGAAGGCAGCAGCGACATTGTCTGAGAAGTTCCTCATGTCCCCGGGCTCGTCCCCCTGCCACCCACCACCACCACCATGCAGCACAACACACACAGCACAGCAGAAGAATGCAAACCCAGGGAGAGACATAAACACGGGCACACAGGTGAGTCCCCATCCACTCCCACACTCCTTCAGACAGAGAAACATTTTCTACCACTCCGGTCATCCCCCCTCTACTCTCGTTCTCACTCTCGCTCGCCCTCACCTGCTCGCCCCCCCCCCTGCCCTCACCTGTACGCCCGTCATCCGCCAATGAGCTGCTGCAGGCGTCACCTGCTTTCCCCACAGCCTCCCTCACCTAGCGCTCTTAGTGCTCTCACCTGCTCCCTCGCCTCATGGCCTCACCGGCTCCCGGTCACCGCCTCACCTGCTCGCCCTGGTAAAAGTCGTCTGCAGACGTGCTGCTGCAGGCGTCGCTGCTGGCGCTCTCGCTCTCGCCCATGCCCATCGCCATGTTCCCCCCGTCCATGCCGCCCGGCTCCTGCTGCCACCCGCGCGTCAAAAAGTACCCCGTGTCGTGCGGGTTGTCTGGGCTTGGCACAAACACCGCCTGGAGGATGAGTGGGGGCGACAGGGAGAGGGGCGAGTGGCCAGGGGCGGGATGCAATGGGAATGAGGGAGGGAGAGGGGCAAGAGGGACGTACAAACGCCTCTGTAGCAAGGCGCAAGCAGAGAGGAAGAAGAGACATAGCATTTGCACATGGCACATGGCACACGGCACGTAGCGCACGCACATGAGCCCACGCAGCCCCATCCCCACCTGCTCCTGCGCGAGCGTCTCCCAGCGGATGCCGTCAAAAAAGGGGTGCGCCTTCACCTCCTCTGCTCCCCTCGCTCCCAGCCGCAGCGACGGCTCCGGATGCAGCAGCCTGGCAGGGGGTTCAAAGAGAGGGGGGGAGGGGTTGACGGGTGAGAGCCGGACTAGTTTTTAGGCGCCTCAAAACTAGACTCCGGATGCAGCAGCCTGATGGCAGGGGGTTCAAAGAGAGGGGGGGAGGGGTTGACGGGTGAGAGCCGGGCAGCGCGAGGAAGGAGCCGATGACGCATATTCCACTCTACGCATAGCATACATAATGAACATAAACAGAAATGTACCTGCCGTGCCAGAAGAATGTGCGAGCTAGCTAATTCTCCCTGCAATAAACATCGGCCTCGCAAGGACACAGGCTTTAAGAGGCAAGCACACATACTTATCAACGAGGTCCATGGCCTCGTAGAACATCTCATCAGGCACCTCCGGGCTCCCTCAACAAGGTGAATGCGCATGCGTGTGTGCTTTGCTTTCTCTCTTACTCACACAAGGACATACAGCGGAAGCAAGCAAACGTACTTGTCAATGAGGTCCATGGCCTCATAGGACATCTCCTCAGGCACCTCCGGCCATGGAATGTCTCGGTTCAGAATGTTGTCAAATATGATCTGCACGCGTTGAGCCGGGAGGGATGGTTGGAGAGAGAGCATGAGCATGCCTGTGTGCGTAGGCATGTGTGTGTGCATGTGTGTGTGTGCGGGTGCAGGAGTCACCTAGAAACCACAAGAGCACAAAACCAGCAGGTCACGGCCCTCTTGCAGGTCACGGCCCTCTTGCAGGTCACGGCCCTCTTGCAGGTCACTCACCTCTGGAGAGGGCGCGTTGAAGGGAGGAACGCCGCAGAGCAGCTCAAATAGCATCACTCCAACAGCCCACCAATCCGCCGTGGCACCTGCACAGGGATGACACGAGGAGGGAGGTGGGGCGAGACAGAGAGAGAAAGGAAAGAGTGTGGATTAGCAATGGAGCGGCAGTAGGATGGGAAGCGAATGCTGTGTGTGCTTGTGTGGTAACACCAGCTCGCCACCATGTCATGTCTGATCCCAAGCCCATCAACCCATACCCATCATCATGCCCACCCCCATCCACCGAAACCCACTCCTACCCACCACAACCCATCCCCACCCACCATGGCCCATCCCCACCCACCACAACGCATCCCCACCCACCACAACCCATCCTCACACACCATGGCCCGTGCCGAGCAGAATCTCCGGAGCAAGATAGTCCGGAGTGCCCACCGTCTGCTCCTTCTTCTTCTCCACATCCGCCGACGCACTCTGCCCGGCACCCTGCAACGACTCCACCTCAGCCTTCCACGCAGGTGACGCCGATCCGCCCCCCATCCCCCCCGCACCTCCCCCTCCCCCTCCCACACTCCCCGCCCCTCCGCCGCCCACCATCCCCACGCCGCCCGGAACCCCCGAAAACGGCGAAGTGCGGCCGGAAGAGGACGACGGGCGGGACGATGCGCCGGACGGCGCGGGCGGGAAGTCTGCCGCCCGGTCCGCCGCCCAGAGAGGCGACGTGGGGATAGACGCCGAGACAGACGCGCCGGAATCTATCGACCCGGATTTGGGGAAGCCGAGGGCGGCTGGGGGGTGGGCAGAGGCTGAGAGGGCAGCTGCAGCGGCAGCAGCGGAGGCGGAAGCAGAGGCGGCAGCAGCAGCGGCGGCGGCGGTGACGTTGGGGGAGGGGGGCTCGGAGGGTCCTGTGGTGGTGAGAGGGCCGATGGCGAAATCGCCCGTGCTGTTGAATAGACCCATTTGGGACAGCCCAAAGTCCGTCAGCTGTGGGGGAGGGAAGCAGCGCGGAGGGAGAGGAAGGAAGAGGAGAATTTGGATGAGCTGGACGAGGATGCAACGCAGGGGCAGCAGGCAGTGAGCAGCAGGTACGGCCCGCCTTGGCATGGCAACACGCTCACTGTGACATGGCAGCGCGCTCAACGTGTCACTTTCAAGAATGCTTTTTGAGAAACCTTCGGAGATTCTCAGGGTGCGCTCACTTTGACAAAGCAGGCTTGCATTGCTCACCTTGATGTGGCCGTCGTATGCGATGAGGAGGTTGTCGGGCTTGAGGTCCCGGTGGATGATGCCACTCGCATGCAGATGCTCCAATGCCAAAACCTAATGGTGGTGGGGGTGAGGGGGGGGGGGCGAGAGAGAGGCAGGGCATGTTTGGGGTAGTGGGATGGCATGGTGTGTGCAGTGGGATGGCATTCATGTGCGGGCAGAGTGCAGGCACGCGCAGGCAGGGCAGGGAAGGGCAGGGGTGAGCAGGAGACATCCCAGTACAGCAATGTAGGCCTTGGTCATGGGCTCCTCAAAACAGCCAATGTTCTAATAATTTGGACCACGACTCACAAAGGACTCGGAGGATTGGAGGCAGCAAGGCAGGGCAGGGCAGGGCGCATGAGGGCAGGGCAGGGCTCATGAGGGCAGGGCAGGGCACGTACGAGTTCGGCGATGTAGGCGCGGGCCATGGGCTCCTCGAGGCAGCCGAGGTTCTGCAGCAGCGAGAAGAGGTCGCCCCCGTTGAGATACTCCATCACCAGATAGAGGTTCTCCCGACACGTGAACGAATAGAAGCAGCGCACCTGGGGGCAGGGGCGAGAAGGGCATGGTAGAGACGTGGGTGTGCATTAAGGCGCACGCATGTGGGGTGAATCGATGGGTACCAAAGAGCATCAGGGCGGAGGGGGTGTGCATGGAACATGGCGGTGCACAGCACAGTGATACACAATCGCGTTTACCATACAACAACGTCGCATGGGGAAACAGCAAGGCATGCGTGCCACAGCAGGGCATGCGTGCCACAGCAGGGCATGCGTGCCACAGCAAGGCATGCGTGCCACAGCAGGGCATGCGTGCCACAGCAGGGCATGCGTGCCACAGCAAGGCATGCGTGCCACAGCAGGGCATGCGTGCCACAGCAGGGCATGCGTGCCACAGCAGGGCATGCGTGCCACAGCAGGGCATGCGTGCCACAGCAGGGCATGCGTGCCACAGCAAGGCATGCGTAGCGTACCACGAAGGGGCTGCGCACGGAGGCGAGGATGTTGCGCTCTGCCTGCACACTCTCCACCGCGTTCTTGCGCACCATGTCCGCCTTGCGCAGCACCTGGTGTGCACACACACGGAATGGGACAGGGGAGGCACAGAGGCAGCACAGGGGAGTCAGATATTAACCTCGGAAAGACGCTTTTGACTCTGCCTGCACACTCTCCACCGCGTTCTTGCGCACCATGTCTGCCTTGCGCAGCACCTGCCACGAATGAAGTTAAAATATATATTGTGTAGCATGCCAACACATGTGACTGTACACCAATTGTGGTGTACAGTTGGGTTGGGACTACACCCAACTTTGGGTGTAGTCTTGCACTTTGGGGTGCCAATCCACCCAATTGTGGTGGAGCCCCCAAATGCAACCCTCTTGACTTGTGGGTACCTCACTTCCCACAATTGAGGTTACCCCAAGCCAAGTGGGCCTAGGGTTGCCTCACTTCTACAAAGTGTGGGCAACCCAACCCACTTGACCTATGGTTCCCTCACTTCCCCAAGTGAGGTCAACCCAACCTATGGTCACTTTCATCCTTCCCTTCCAACCTTCCCTTCCAACTATGTATGCTAGGTTGTTCCTCTAATCTGATCACTTGTTCAATTTGCTACTTTCACAAATGATTCAAACGAGGAGTGCAAACAGAACTTAAGATTCAACGCGCGTCTAGGGAACCCCTTATTTCTTCATCCCCTCTATCCACTCCCTGCCTCGCCAGCTGACACATGGACAGTGGCGCCACACGGCCAACACCCACCCATGCACCCACCCATGCACCCACCCATGCACCCACCCATGCACCCACCCATGCACCCATCCATGCACCCTGCCGTCCACCCATCCATGCACCCAGCCATGCACCCAGCCATGCACCCAGCCATGCACCCAGCCATGCACCCAGCACCCGCCCACCCACGCACGCACCTTGATGGCAAAGAGGTCCCCCGTGGTCTTCTTCTTGGCCAGGAACACGCGCCCATACGCGCCCTTGCTGATGGGCTTGATCAGCTCAAAATCATCTATCGTCGTGCGATCCCGCCCCGCCGCCGAAGCCGACGACGACGACGCAGCCATACCACCACCGCCGCCGCCACCACCACCACCAGGGCCACCAGCACCACCAGCAAAACCACCAATGCCGCCGCCACCGATGCTGCTGCCGCCGCCCATAGAGGCGTTGGGCGGGGTGCTGCGGGCGCTGCGGGAGAGGTTCAATACGTCCTCTCCGTCCTCGTCCGCATATTGCATCGCCTCGCCCCCATCTGTCCCCCCGTAGCCTCGCAGTGCACTGCCTGCTGCCGCGCCCATCTGGTGGTCCAGGATGTCCCTCAGGCGGTAGTACTTCTCCCTGGCAACATGGGAGGCACGCAGGAAGGGGGGGGTCACGGAGGTGTGCGGATGGGAGGGAGGAAAGAAATTTTGAGTTGACCCACTGCTGCGCCCATCTGGTGGTCCAGGATGTCCGTACTTCTCCCTGCCCATCCCACAGGGGAGCAGTGCAGGGCAGGAAGGGGAGAGGAAGGGGAGGAGAGGGATGTGAGGAGAAATGAGCGAGGAGGCGGGAATTGAAGAGAGAAATGACAGGCTGTAGCGCCCATCTGGTGGTCCAGGATGTCCTGCAGGCGCTAGTACTTCCCCATGTGCAACAGAGGAGACGCGATGCGCAGAAGGGAGAGTGGAGTGAGGAGAGTGGAGTGCGGGGATGGAAACAGGAGCTAGCACTAATGAACTGCGATAAGAGCACCTCAGGGCAGGCGTTTGAGTCGAATCAAATCAAACGCCATCAAGCAAGTAAGCAAGCACGAACACACACACGAGCAAGCAAGCACACTCACTGCAGCAGCTTGGTGATGCGGCGGCCGAACACGTCAATGGTGAGGAAGCGCGCGTCGTTGGTGCGCAGCAGGTCCGTGAGGTCCCTCATGTCTGTCAGCAGCAGCTCCTCTGGCTTCTCGTCCTCCAGTGACACATCTGCCACGTCCTGTGCTATGTCCGCTAGGTCGTCCATCTGAGGGGTTGAGAGGTGTTGGGGGGTAGGGTAAGCAGCCACGGAGTGACAGGCGCAAAGGCACAGAACACGAGAGAGAGAGAGAGACTTGAAGTCGACCCACACGTCTTCCCTCTAGCGAATATCAACCAGGCGATGGAATCCATCAGACTTGAAGTCGACCCACACGTCCGCCACGTCCTGGGCTATGTCCGCCAGATCTTCCATCTACGGGCGGGGGAATAGGGTGAGGGCACGCCGCACACGAGACAGGTGGCCAAGGGAACGAGACAGGGAGGGCTTGTCAGCCCCATTCTTCAATCTAACAAATAGCCTACAAGTACTCCCAACCAACACAGGACTCACCAGGGCGATCTCCTCTTGAGCCACCATGTGGATGTGCTCCTCCATCAGCTCCCTCCCGCCTCCCGCCAGAGCACTCTTCAGCAGCGACGACCCGGGGCTCCCATACCCCCCATGGCCGTCCCCTCTCGTGCCTGCAGATCCTGCCGGCGACGTGGGCATGGGGGAGGCCGTGCCCGCGGATAGGAACCCGCTGGTGGAGGTGGCGCCGCTCATGCTCGTCACTGCGCTCATGGACGGCTCGTACTGGGAGCCCTCCTCGCCCGCTGCCTGCAGCTGCTGTTGCTGCTGCAGCTTGTGCTGCTGCTGCTGCTGCTGCAGGTGGTGGCTCACGTACGACCAGTTGGACACGTTGTTGCTGCTGCCCCCTGCGCCCTGATGCTCTGGGTGATCCTCTGTGGGGCTTATCGGAACACCAGGGTGCAACGACCCGTTCTCTCTGCTGCAGTGCTCAGCTGCGTCTTGCTCGCGCATCTGTTGCTCCTCTCCACTGTACCCATCCGTCCCCTCCCCTTCTCCTTCTCCTTCTCCTGCGCCACCTTCGTCTCCTTCGCGCATGTCTGCATGAGACACCATACTGCTGCCCAAGGGAGACAGGAACCTGCCACCACCCTGCTTCGCCCCTGCACCTCCCCCTACCCCCCCCATCGACCCCACGTGCTGGGAATGCGAATCCAGCCCCGCGGGTACCCCTGACGAGGCCGCCCCGCCAGCAGCAGACGACGAGTTGGACGGCACTCGTTGGAACGACATGGCGCCCAGCCGCGACACCTGCTCGTTCGAGATGTGATCCAGGCCGTCCGCTAGCCGCCTCAGCCGATCGTCAATCGAAAACTGCGCCGAGTCGCACCGATTCGCGAGCGCGCACAGCCGCGAGTGCTCCTGTAACTGCGTAACATTCACCTCCTCTTCACAAATACGACAGATCACCACACACTCCTGCTCCCCCTCGTTCGGAACCATCCCATCCATACCCTCCTCCTCCTCGTTCTCCCCCTTGCCCCAGTACCCGTACTTATACTGCACTCTTCGCCCCGACACAGATCTCATCATTGCTTTCTCATGCAAATCATCAAAGTCCTCTGCAAGGTTACCCGAGGGAGAAGGCGGCTCTCTCGCCCCCCCGTGCCTCCGGCTCTCCATCCGCTCGTCCTCCCCGCTTGGCACCCGCACGTCCCACGCTCTGCTGCTGCGCCCCTCGCCTCGTCTGTGCGCCTTCTCCGACTCCCCCTCCCGCCGCACGTCCCCCTGCCCCTGCCGCGCCCCACCCTGTCCCCCCTTCCTCCCCTCAACTCCCTCACTCCCCTTAATTCCCTCCTGCGGAATCGCCATGCTCGCTTCCGCCATGCTCGTGTCCCCCGCCTCGCCCCATGCGCCGCCAGTTCCTGCTGCCCCTGCGCCAGCTCCCGCGGATAGGGCTGCTGCAACCCCGGACTCCGCTCCTCCCGCTGCGCCTAACGCCGCACCTAGCGCCGCCGCTACCTCTGCGTCTGCCGCTGGGCCCATCTCCCGAACCGCCGTTCCCGCCGGTGCTGCCGCCGCTGCTGCAGGCGCCAGCGACGGCGCAGAGTCGCTTGATCGGGAGCCGGAGGCCTTGTCACGCGCGGATTGGCTACGAAAGGCGCGCTGAATCTCCTCCTCCTTGCGGATCTCCGCCACCCGCCCCCACAGCAGCCCCCGCGCGCTCGTGGACCCGTGTACCTCCGCGTCAACTGGCGGAGCGGGCGAACCCGCCATGTGCGCCTGCTGTGCCCCCATGAGCACGTCCGCGCCCGGCGCGAGCATCTGCGCCTGCTCTTGCGCCAGCGCCTGTGGCTGCAGCAACTGTTGCTGCAGATCCTGTACGTGCTGCTGCGGCACCCCGGATTGCACCTGATCCTCCTGCTGCTGGGCGTGCTGCTGCGGCTGCTGCGGCTGGAACAACTGCTGCAGCCATCCCTGCTCCCCACTCGTGCTCGCCAGAGACACGTCTCCTTCCTCCCGTCCATCATCCGACAACCGTTTACTCTGCATAGGCGATGCGGACATGGTTGCGCCGCTGCCCTTCCTGCCCGCACTCTTGTCCCTCCCTTTCTCCGCCTTCTCCTTGCCCTTATCCATTTTCTCCTTCCCTTTCTCCTTTTCCTTCCCCTTCTCCTTCTCCTTCCCTTTCTCCTTCTCCTTTCCCTTTTCCACCTTATCCTTCCTCGCCTCCTCCATCTCTGCTGCTTCCTCCTCCTTAACCGATGCCAATAGCTCCTCGAGTTTCCCACTAACCATCCGAACCAGATTCGTCACTCCGCCAATCAACCCACCAGACAGCTTCTTCTTCGACGAACTGAGCCCCGAACCTGAGCCCGAGCCTAATCCCAAGCTCGAGCCCAAGCCCGACGAGCCAGAAGGCGCAAGTTGGCTGGAGGAGCTCGAACCGAAACCTGATACCGAGCCTAATCCCGACCCTCCATCAGCACTCGACCCTGCACCAAGCCCGGACCCAAAACCTGTTCCGAACCCAAATCCGAACCCAGTACTCGCGCTCGCACTCGCACTCGCGCTAGCGCTATCCTCTTGATTGAAATCCCCGCCGGGAACGTAGGTACCGTCGTCTAAAGCCCCTCTCATCTCCGCCACCGCGGCACTCCAGTCGTCCATCATATTCGACTTGCTCTTGCTCCGCTGCTTCCCCTCATCCTTGCGCGCGCCGAACCCCAGCCCCGCGGCCCCCTTCTGTTCCGCCTTGGGGTCGCGCACCCGCCAGTCCGCCGGTGCGGGGCACGAGTCCCACCGGATGATCGACCGCTGCGGCGGTTGCTGCGGCTGCTGCTGCTGCTGCCGCTGCAGCCGCCCCTTCTCCGCCGGTAACTCCGCAGGGTGCTCCGTGGAGTGGCCCGCGGGGAGCTCCGCGGGACGTTCCGGCGGCTTTGACACCGTAAACGAAGAGAAGTGAGTCGCCGCCATGGACGCTTGCGATCGAAGCGTCGACGGCAAGCCAGGCGGGCGGTTACGAACCATCGGCGTCGCTAAGACCTCCGCGCCCCTATACGGCCCCCCGTACACTCCCCCGTACGGCATCTCCGCCTCCGCTTCCTTCTGCGACTGCAGCAGGCGCGTGCAGCGCGTGAGAATAAAGAGCATTTTCATGTGCAGCTGCTTTAGGGTTCCCATGGGGAGCTGCTGCCGCGCCATATTCAAATCGTGCACGATATCCTCGCACGCCGATCCGAACTCGTCTGCGTGCATTCGAAGGCATTTCTCAGCTAGGTCTTTAAGATAGAGCGCCCCTTGCTCCCATCTAGACGATTCCGGCGACATCAAAAACGACGTGAACGTTGACGGGTAGGCGTTAGTGGGAGAGACAGGCGACTTGGGAGGCGTTCTGGGCGGCGCGGCGCCTGGGAGGTTCAGCCGCTTGGCGATGTCGCTGATGAACACGCGAAGCTCGTCGTCGACTTTTTTCTTCGCGTATTCGAGTGCTCGTTCGAGATTGCTCATTGACCCGTCCTGCCTCGCGGAGCAACGCCAGGGGGAAGGAAATGGAGCAACGCGGGAGGAAAGAAAATGGAGCAACGCGGGAGGAAAGGACACGGAGCAACGGGGAGGAAAGGACACGGAGCCTCGCGGGAGGTGACATGGAGCAAAACGAGAGCCAAGCACGCGGAGAGACACACAAAACTCACAACCATGTGAGCCAGTTGAAGGAGCCTGGAGGCGTGTGGATGGAAAGAGCAAGCAAAGGCAGGGACAAAGCAGCAAGCAACCTGGCACAACCCTCGACGAGAGAACCAACCAAGCAGCAATGCGCCTTACGCTGACGTCGAGGTGCGACACACGAATGCTGGGCCGTTGCGACGACATCGCCATGGGGTGCGCCTTGCCCGGCGTCATGTGCTTGTGCCCGCCGGTCGTGCGGTTCAACGAGCTGATGCTCTCGAGCATGCTAAAGTCCATGCTCAACGGCATGCCCGTCATTACCTGGAATTGATTTCAAGGGTCGAAACAATTGCACAAAACGGAAACACTTTGGAAAGCCTCAGTGGTGGTAATGAGATGGAGAGGATGCGAACAGGTGATAAGGAACCCTAGGCGACGTCGGCGAAAGTAACACGAGACCGAGTACACGGATTCGACGAGCGTGCAAATCGGGGAACGGCAAAACGTTCTCGAAACGGACAGACGATGATGGACTAAGATAAATCTAAAAAAAAAACACACGGAGGAGGATTATAACGGGGATGGGAACGAGGTTAGGAACGCACATCGGAGAGGCCTGCGGAGAGAGGATGCATCTGGGAGAGGCCGTTGTGACCCATTCTTAGCGATTCCGCTCTCGAACCGGGATCGGCCATGGACATTCCGTTGCTCTCGCGCGAATGAGCCAATCCGCTACCCTCCCTCGACTTATCCAGTCGCAAGGCCTCAAAGCTGGCTTCCAGACTAGGGTTAAGCTCCCGTGCTCTGTCTGGTCTCAGTAGCGGACTCACGTCCCTCTCCCTCTCGCGGTTCCGACTCGTCCCTCGCGGCGTCGACAGCACGTCATGGTAGGGGTTCGGCATTTCGTGCTTCGACGGCCGCTGAGGATTCAGCGACCCCGTTCTTTCCAGCATCGTTCCTATGCTCTCGGAATCTATCCTGCTGATTTTATTCTACAGCTAGCAACAGCGAGGAAATGCATTGAAAGAACATCCCAGAAGCTTTGTAGCTTCCCTTCCGTGCCGTGACCGTCTCCAGCTACCAACGGACCCTCCGTGATCACACGGTCCCAAGTGGGTCTCGAAATCTCGTTTTAGCTGTTGACGCAATCGCACCACTGTTCCCCACAATCACACACAAAACCTGTTGGAAGCAGCCAGAGCCTGAGCGGCTGTTGGAGCCATGGAATGGAGTGAAACCCTAGAATGGAATCAGCGAAGAGAAGGGTCCGTCCGTCGCAAGGAATGTATGGGATGATGGGGGTGGTGGTGGGAATGGGTGAGGCAAAGCTCACAGGGGGGGAGGAGGAGGGAGTGAGTGGAGGGATGCACAACAAACCTAGGGAACTGCGTGCGACAAAGTCCGGCACACTGCGATCAAGCGTAGAAGGGAAGCTGTGATACACACTGATATCATCCTTTCCTTGCCTGGTGGTAGCCTTGAAAGCTGCGTGCGACGTAGTCTGGGCAGTTTTGAGTGTGTAGGGCTGATGTGACGTTGAATATAGTCGCTTTGGACTGGGAGTTGCTGTGCTGCGCGTCGCACACTAGCGCTTGACTGACGAGGCATGTGCATCGCACTGTCATCGTCACGCGTGGTCGCACAGCCAGTCGCAGTGCCATCATCGAGGAAATTTGTGCGACATGGGCACGTGTGGAAGGATCTGTGTCCATCTGGAAGGCCGACATGAGCTTCTCCGTCAGCGGTGAGACGCGATTCCCAAGAACGGCGCGCAAAAACCTCAACCAAAACCTCCATAATGTGACAGCTTACAGTGTTTGATGAATGCGGCTACAAATTTCTCAAACATTGCATTCATCACATTTATTTACAGAGTAAGTACAAAACATTGCCTTCACATCACATAGCGATAACTTTTACCGCAGTCCAAACCAAACATGTTAGTCCATGGTTTCATCCTCGTCGTCATACATCCTCCTCTCAGGTGGAGTGGCATCCACATACTCATCTTCATCACCAATACCTTCACACATATCCTCACCCAAACGCCCTCGAACACACCCCCCTGCCCTATCCTCCATTTCGTCATCCTCCGTATTTTCGATCCAGCGATCCGGATCTCTCTGAAGTGGAGGTGCTTCTGCGCCGTGCCCAATAATCCATGAAAAGAGTTTGTGGATGTATAACACAAAGGGAAAGCTGGAAATGATGAGGCACTTCTGGAAAACTGGAGCGCCGGCATGAGAGGTGAGGTGCAGCAGTTGAATAACGAAACTCCAAACCTCCAGCGCTGAAACCGGCAGCGGCGGCATGGGGGAATTTGATTATCAAGGGGAAGGAAAAGGGTACAAAAGATGACTCACGTTGATGTGGTGCTGCTAGCCTCCCAGGGGTGGATGCCTCCGTGGGCATGAATCGGGCAGCAGACACATCAGCAGCACCGCCAGTCACCATGCCATTCCCATCCACACTACCCCCAGTGTTGCATCCACCAGCAACACCACCACCGCCACCGCCACCGCCACCGCCACTACCGCCTCGTGATGCCGCTGCCAGCCGACCAATGGGAAGCTCCTCGGTGGCGTCCTCGCTGTCTGGAACCTGATTGGCTGCCAGCTTTTGTTGGTACTGATCGTGCTGTTGCTGCCGTTGATCCTGCTGCGCATGGCCTGGAAGTGGTTGTTGCTGCTCCCTGGGCCACGTGCTGCTTCCTCTTCGCCCTCTGCCACTCCCCTCTCCTCCACCCGGACCTGCTGAATCCGCACCAGGCCTGTGTGCTGTGCCTTTCGCCCCTGCTATGAACCCACACAGGGAGAATTGAGGAGCATTTTGCGTAATGCACGGGTGGAAATGCATGGCGATTGAAAAAAAAAAAAGTTTTAGTTTTAGGTGTGTAAGGAAAAAGCACGTGAATTAGCAGCGTATGCCCAGAAGACCATTCGCAAGATACATTGATCGCATTGTTTTGGCAAACATCAGAGATCTTGGCTCACAATACCTGAGAGGTCTGACCATACCTGAGAGGTCTGACCATCGCTTTCCATGCGCCCAGCCTGCTTCCAGCCTTGCTCCTGCACCTGGATCCTTCAACGGAACATTCTCAGCACCTTCCTCGCCCCTCATCTCATCCGCTCCCTCTTCTTCGCCTTCACCCAGCCCTCCTCCTCCTGGATCTTCTCTGCAGCCCGAACCAATTGGATAGGCTTGGTGAGGATCTGCTCCCGAACCTGCATGACAGGATCGCTAGGAGCCTGAAGCTGCAACTGTAGGAGTTCCGGCTTCGGCTGAGGTTCGGGAAGCCAAGCCCTTGTGAACAGGAGCGTCAGCTTCGGCAGATGCTTGGGGAGTAGCTGCGGCTTGGTGAGCAGGAGTGGCAGGTGTGCCAGGTTGGGCGGAGGCTCGGTGAACGGAAGGGTCGGAAGGGGGGGGAGTGGGGAGCTGGGATTCGAGCATTGTGGCGATCACAAGGCGTGAGTCAAAGTCAGACGCGAGTGGTGCATGTGCATGGCGGGGGTTGCGAGTGGGGGTGGTGTGCGGGTTGGGAAATCTTGGCATGAGCATGAGAGGGCTGCAGGACACACAGTAATCCAGTGATGGCAGCGGGGAGGGAGGGGCGAGTGGGGGAGGATAGAGGTGAAATAAATAAGGGTTACACAAGTGAATTGGGACAGTGGGGTTTGGAAGGGCGAGCAGGGGGGAATATCTCACAATACCTACAGTAAATCAACAACTCTCAAGGAAACGTGTTCAACGATATCCACGCCACGGGTCTGGGCCTGATGACTCTAGAGCAGCACTCATGCTCCGGCTCGATGGAAGAGCATCACCACGTCTGCTGCTGCTGACTCACAGAACTGCACAAACGCCTGGTGGCGAGGAAAGAGGGCGTGGAAAGGCCTGGGCCTGATGACTCTAGAGCAGCACTCACGCTCCGGCTCGATGGAAGAGCATCACCACGTCTGCTGCTGCTGACTCACAGAACTGCACAAACGCCTGGTGGCGTGGGAAGGGGCCATCGAAAAACGAAGAGGAGTGTGGGGGGAGGGGAGGGTGGGGTGGGGGGAGTGTGGGGGGAGGGGAGGGTGGGGTGGGGGGAGTGTGGGTGTGAAGCAGGAGGGCAGGCGATTGCCCATGTGGGTGGCTGTACACATCAAAGCGCTCCACTCCACTTCCACCCGCCCAACACACCACACCATCCTCCCATTCCCCACACCCCATTCCCCACACCCCCATGCTCCTCTCACCTTCACCTCCTTCGCGCTGAAAGTAACGTCCACCGGATCCCCCCGTGGCAAAACGCCTAAAACTGTTCCCCAGGGTCGACCCACCAAACGCACCACACCACACAACACCCGTATCCACCTCTCTTTTCCGCCACCCTCCCATCCCCCGCGCTCCCCTCACCTTCACCTCGTACACACCGACAGTAACGTCCACTGCATCCCCGGCATGGCAGAACGCCTCAAAGTGCTCCCTTGAATCCAACCACCAACACACTACACACCACACACTACACACCACACACCACACACCACACACCACATACCACACACCACACACCACACACTACACACCACACACCACACACCACACACCATACACCACACACCACACACCACACACCACACACCACACACCACACACCACACACCACACACCACACACTACACACCACACACCACACACCACACACCACACACCACACTCCCATCCACCTCACCCCTATCCTCCACACTCCGAATCAACACGGCCGTCTCACCTTCACCTCCTTCACGCTGAAAGTGACGTCCACAGCGTCCCCCCTGTGGCAGTACGCCTCAAAGTGCTCCCCAGGGTCCACCCACAGCTGCGTGTGCATCGCTGCTTCCGGGGACGCCTCCAGCCGTCCGTCTGCTGACGAGCCTGCACAGGGACAGAAGGCAAGAAGAGGGAGGAGCAGGAGGAAAAGCACAGATCGCTTCAGGCTGATACATTAAGGGGCCGTATCACCCACCCACAGCTGCGGGTGCTTCGCTGCTTCTGGGAACGCCTCCAGCCTCCCGTCCGCTGACTGAATAGCAAGGCAGTCGGTGTGTCACGGGGAGCAAGGCACCCGTACACTGAATGTGAAGAGCCTGTACGGGGAGCAAGGCATCGCGCAGAGGAGCAGGAGGCAGAAACGCTTTGAGCCAGTCACTGAAGTCACCTTGGTTGGTGGGCGTCCGTCTGTTAGCACGAGGAAGATGCAGTGGCAGGGAAGGCACGAGTGGAGGAGGTGCAACTGCTTCTCACTGCTCCAATGCTTTGACACCCCACATGCACACATCGATGTGTCACACCCATCAGCAAGAGTGAGCTTGACATGCCATGCATCCACACATACCCACACATGCATGCGTCTATGTTTCAACACACCCACCAGCAAGAGTCGGCTCCACGTAGCTCCTCATCTCAACCGCCTTTGCCTCACTCCCCCCTCCTCTCCCCGCCGCACCTCCGCCCGTGCGTGTTCCCAAGCCTGTCACGTCCTCAGGGTCGGCAGCAATGATGGTTATTTCAGAGAGCGTGGATTGAAAGTGGTTGAGCAGCTACAGAAGGGCCTTGGGGCGGGCGACGAGCGAGGAGGGGTACGTGGACGGGTCGATGGACGCTGATAGCACCTCCCTATCGTTCACACATGCGATGGTGTATATCTTGCGCATGCCTGGCGGGATGGGGAGAGAGGAGGGGAAGGGCAGGAAGGAAAAGGAAGGAGTGGACTTGAAAAAGTGCGCTTGAGTTGACTGGAAGTTGGATGGACGCTGACAGCACCTCCCTCTCTCTCATTCACACATGCCATGGTGTATGTCTTGCGCATGCCTTCTCAGAGGGTGGTGAAAGGAGGGAGGGGAAAGGGAGAAGTGGCAAGAAGGAGTTCATTTCAAGTGGCACGGGGACAGAGAGCAGATCCCCGTCACTTGACATATGCAATGCGCCATTTCACCACTGGAGTTTGCTTTTCAAGGGCAAACCATTTTGGCCGCCCAGATCAGCATGCTGTTCTGGCAATCAAGCCGGAGGTTCTCCAGCCACCCTGCATACCCGTTTGGCAATCCAGTCTGACGATTTGGGGCTACCCGCTGTAAATACCCAGCATACCGTTTTGGCAGTCGATGATCCATCGAATGTTGTCGGGCTCCTTGCCGTCCGCTGTGATGGTGAGGGTCCGCATAGCTGCAGGCGCCGTGCGGAACACCGCCAGTACTGACTGCTTCCCCCCCCCACCCCGCGTGCATTCACATGCACAACACATGCAGATGTGTTCGCACACCAGATGCAATCACATGCTCGCACACACGTGCAATCATATGCACACCACTTGCAATCATATGCTTGCACACACATGCAACCATATGTTCGCATGCACATGCAACCATATGCACAACACATGCAACCATATGCACACACATGAATACGAATACCCTCCTCTCTCTCCCCCAACACACACCCACCAACACACACAGAAGCTTTGATGTAAAAAAGGAGTTATAAATACACAGAGACAGGCAATCAGGACAAAATATACAACACAATACTTAAAAAGTCATTCGGTTGCATTGCATCCAATGACAGCTTGGTGCAGAGCAACTTGAGTTGCTTTATCCAACTTGACCTGCCTTGACAAGCTTGACTCACCTTGACGAGCGCGGAGCAGGAGCAGGTGGGTTGGGAGAGGTTGAAGGTTTGAAAGTAGTCCGTGGCGAAGTTGACCACCAGGTAGGCCGTCTTGGCCGTGTTGATGCCTTGCAGTGACAACTGTGAGAAATGGATTAGGGCAGGCCGGAAGAGCTGAATGGAGTGAGGCTGATCACCTTTGTAGGTGTATTTTGAATCAATCTCAAGTAAGCCGTCTTGATTTCACGCATAGACAATTGCGACGATGGACAAGGCTTAGGTTATGATACAAAAAAAAAATAACAGGCTGATAATGGCGAACACTGACTGTAAAGCTTCTCACAATATTGGACAGATCACGGCAGTTTTTGCGCTAATTTCAGCTTGCATCTGTACCTCGCTTCCACTTCCATGCATGACTAGGTTCGGCACCTTCACACACAGGAGTGGCTTCCATGAGTGGCTTCCATGAGTGGCTTCCATGAGTGGCTTCCACAGGAGTCGTACCTCCACGGGAGTCGTTCACGTCGTACCTCCACGGGAGTCGTTCACGTCGTACCTCCACGGGAGTCGTTCACGTCGTACCTCCACGGGAGTCGTTCACGTCGTACCTCCACGGGAGTCGTTCACGTCGTACCTCCACGGGAGTCGTTCACGTCGTACCTCCACGGGAGTCGTTCACGTCGTACCTCCACGGGAGTCGTTCACGTCGTACCTCCACCGGAGTCGTTCACGTCGTACCTCCACGGGAGTCGTGGAGTCGTTCACGTCGTACCTCCACGGGAGTCGTGGAGTCGTTCACGTCGTACCTCCACGGGAGTCGTTCACGTCGTACCTCCACAGGAGCTGCAAGGAAGGTGATGTAATCGCTGTGAGCCACCTTGGCCAGGCACTGAACTGCTCGGCACAATCCACGGATCTGCTCGCCTGACAGCTGGCACTCCATGATTGGCGTGGATACGTAACGAGGATACGTATGAATCTTCTTCTGAACGGTTTTAAAAAAACCGTTAGGAAACAAAGTATGGATCTTCTCACCCGCTAGTTACTACGGCTCGCTACGTATGTCTGCGTTTAAGAACGACAACGAGGAAGCGACACAAAAATCAGGCGGAATGAGCTGCTGTTATCGTCAGAAGCTACGAGTCTACGCGAGCGTTGGGCTGCCTCGTGACAGCATCTCCGCAGCAGCGACTGGAAAGCGAAACACGGATAACCCTCTGAAGTGTCACCCTACGTGAACCATCATGAAAAGCTTCAGACGTTGCTACTTTCCCTCGCTCTCCCTCGGTATCAACGACTCAGCTCGTCCATCCTAAACTCATAGTCTCTGCTTGAAATCGCGCTGGACAGCATCTGGAGTATACCTGCGACTGCGTCAGCATGACGATACCCGCGGATGCTGGTCCGGATACCGTACCAACCAAGCCAGTTGACCAAGGCCAGACCCAAGGCCCAGGTCAGGCTGTTTCACATCGAATTTTTGGGAAAATATGTTATGAATCAACTTGCAGAGTGCGCAGAATATCGAATAACGAGAATGAGAATTACTGAATCACTGAATGAAGAAACAATGAAGTAGCGAGGCCTAAATAGGGGAAAACCTAGCTAGGCAGGGGGTTCGGGATGGGATGGCTCGGTGATGGTTGCGATTGGAGCGGAGGCCGACTCGGGAGTGGTTCGGTGCGACGAAATAGGAAGGTCAGGTTCGTCGCGTGACCCTCGGGATGACCTCGCTAACGAGTGCCTCAGTAAGGATTTGTAAATCCTTACAAAATATGCTATTCGTAACCATCATGGGACTCAAAAACATTTTTGGTAAAAAAGGGTACGGTCCAGGGCTGACTTTATCAGACTAAAATAGTCTGATTGTCTGAAATCTCAGGGTATTTTCCTACGGATCCTGATTTTTCAGACTTGTAAGATTTTCAAACATGAGTGCCTCAGACTTACTTGGTTTTGGATCCTGAGATTTTCAGAGTACTGACTTAGCCGATAATGGGTCTTCATACTACAGGGAGTACGGATCCTGAAATGCGGATCTGTGATTTCTACGTACATTCCGCTACGGCATATGTTGCCAGTGTACGAACACACTTCATGGCGCTGTCACGCGCAGAATCTGTCCTTGGCAACTTTTGCCACCCTTTTCCCTTAGAAATCTGCCAACTTGGCTCACTCTTCCACTCACGCGGGACCATCACTGCAGCTACGCGGTGTCAGCGAGGGAAACTGGTTAGCGTTGCGCCCCACGTGCTACATTTGTGGCAGTACTGTACTGCAGTGGTTGTAGTGTGTTCTGAGTACTTCAGACTTGTGTTTTTGCGGAACCTGAAAAATCAGAGTGGCCATTCTCTGGGAAATATGCCTCAGACTAAAAATTTTCAGAGCCCCCAGAACATCAGACTGGATTTTTTTGAATAGTCAGCCCTGGTACGGTCACTGAAAAGGGTGTTTTCACGCGACTGATAAAGCGTTTCACGGAATCAGTCACAATCAACTGGTATAAAAAAACGCGAATGGTCACAGATGAAACTCCCGCCAAAACAAAATGAAACTCAAAAAGAACCTGGATGCATTTTGGGATGGTCAACCCTAAACACGAATCTCGCCAGGTGTTCAGCGTTGATCCGTTCCCAAACCGCATCCGATTCCGATTGGGTTTCACTTTTTTTTACAAGTTCGCAGATTGGTTGGGCGCGAGAGGGAATTTTGTTAGAGTTTCAAGTTTTTTTGGCGGAAGTTACATGTGTGACCATTCGCGTGATTTCTTACCTGTTGTTAGTGACTGAATCCGTGATCCCGCTTACCAAACCCATCAGGAAACCCGATACAGTGACCCTACGCGTTTTTTTTTTTACCATTCACGTTATCGAGTCCCAAGTTGGTTACTTGTGACATATTTTCCCCGAATTTTTTGCTATGTTCGGCTTGGTTTTCTGCTTTAGAAACAACTGTAGTCTGAACTACACGATCATACATAAGAATATACCGTGCTTCAGGGCTGTCTTCCAAAATGTACATTCTGCATTTAACAGTAGAGAAATACCGTAATACCCCGGATATAAGCGCACCTGCGCTTATAATAAAACAGTGTTTTTTGGGGGGGTGCGCTTATAATTGAGTCAGATTTATAAGCGCATGCGCTTATATAATAACAAATGCAAATGTATAATTCATTGGCACCAAACTGTACATCTCCTTGTGATTTCAATCGAATCGAAGTGGTAGCGAGTCGCAATTCAGATTCGCGCGTGAGCGATTTTCTGCCGGCGCACTGGGGAAAATTTACACGTCACTATCAGAAATGCCAGCTCATACTGACTGGACGCGCAGTATGTGAGGTCCTCGAAAGTCAATCGAAGCGAAAATAGTTGTATCCTCACTGCAAAATTTGAAATCGCTACCGTTTTAATCTGGTTTAAATTTTAGAATTATACGTGCGCTTATAATAAATAAAGGTTTTACAGGGGGTGCGCTTATAAATGAGGATCGGCCATAAGCGCATTGCTCCAGATACAAGCGCGTGCGCTTATAATAGGCCTGCGCTTATATCAGGGGCCATACGGTACCAAGAGTAAGGGAAAAGGACAAGACCTAGATCACTCCTGAATCAACGCTTAATGCTTGAATTTGGAAGACACCACGTTGGAGGTTACGCCAATAAGTGGTTGTTAAGAAACGAGGAAGCAGGAATGAGAACAGAAGAAGATGTCAGAATATTATTGTCTAGCCTGCAGTGGGGTGCTCTATAGCGGGTACAACCCATCTAGGGTTTGCTATATGTATCCTCATTGCTGCTAGTGAAACCCTCTCTTTTGCCTAAACTTCTCTTGCCTAGCTAGGGCTTACCTAGCTATGGCTCCTCACTATAGCTACTATCTCAACATGCTATCAGAGCAGAAACGCTCCTGGCCTGTGGGCCCACCTTCTTCCGCTGCTACTCTGTCTGTTGCACGGCCCGTGGCGTGCGACGACTTCTTCCTGCCGTGGGCCCCGAGGCGCGCGGCGGTTTCATGCCGTGGGGACCCGCGCGCGGCCCCCGCCCTGCTCGTCGCGGCGCCCTGGGGGGACGCGCGGCCCCCGCCCTGCTCGTCGCGGCGCCCTGGGGGGACGCGCGGCCCCCGCCCTGCTCGTCGCGGCGCCCTGGGGGGACGCGCGGCCCCCGCCCTGCTCGTCGCGGCGCCCTGGGGGGACGCGCGGCCCCCGCCCTGCTCGTCGCGGCGCCCTGGGGGGACGCGCGGCCCCCGCCCTGCTCGTCGCGGCGCCCTGGGGGGACGCGCGGCCCCCGCCCTGCTCGTCGCGGCGCCCTGGGGGGACGCGCGGCCCCCGCCCTGCTCGTCGCGGCGCCCTGGGGGGACGCGCGGCCCCCGCCCGTCCGTCGCGGCGCCCTGGGGAGCCGCGCGCGCCCGCCGCCCGTCCGTCGCGGCGCCCTGGGGAGCCGCGCGCGCCACCCCCTCCCGTCCCGCCCGTCCGTTTTGGCGCCCTGGGGGTAGCGCGCCGTCCCCCTTTGCCGTCCCCCGCGCTCCTGCCCCTCTCCCACCCGTTTTAGGGTTTGGGGGTGAGGAGTGTGGGGGTGGCGGTTGTGGGGGTGTCGGTTGTGTGCGCCATCCCCTACTTCTCCTCCTCCTTCGTCTCCCACTGCTGCAGCTGTCGCTGAGGGGGGTGGATGTGTGGGAGTCTGGGGTTTAGGGTTTAAGGGGGTGCCGTGGGAGTGGAGCTAGGGTTTGAGCAGGGGGTGTGTGTCAAGGGTGTGGGGCAGTTGGAGGAGGTCGTGTGGAGGTACCTGTCGTGTCGCCTGCAGCGCCTGTAGTCCGTCGCCCTTGCTTCGGTAGCCAGTGAGCCTGCTGCACCAGTCGCCAGTGGGTCCGTTGCTCCTGCCGCTCGTCTATAGCCGCCAAGCCAGTTACTCCAGTAGTCCGTCGCCCTTGCTTCGGTAGCCTCTGAGTCAGCCGCTCCTGTGCCCGTGCCTCTGCAGCTTCAGTCGTTGCCTCCCATCTTCTCTCTCTTCACAGTTCCTCCTCCTTCTCACTTGCCCGCTGAGATTAACTCTAGCTTTACTTACTACTGTGAACTCTTGCTCTATGCCTGCTCATTGTGCTGATTACACCCCACTTTGGCTATGGGGGTGTGTCAGAATATTATTGTCTAGCCTGCAGTGGGGTGCTCTATAGCGGGTACAACCCATCTAGGGTTTGCTATATGTATCCTCATTGCTGCTAGTGAAACCCTCTCTTTTGCCTAAACTTCTCTTGCCTAGCTAGGGCTTACCTAGCTATGGCTCCTCACTTTAGCTACTATCTCAACAGAAGAGATTTGCACTAGCAAGCAGTTGAGTACATATAGGAAACCCTAGATTGGGCTGTACTCGCTGTCAAACATTATACATGTTCATATTGTGTAGGCTATAGTGGGTTTAGCCTTAGGGGGTACAACATTGCTAGGGTTTCCTACTTGTATCACCCTGCTGCATAGTTTCACACATTCTCGTTCAGTTCTACATTCTAACATGGTATCACGAGCCTAGGTTGCTACCTAGGACCGCTTTCTCCTACGGGCCCACTATTCCGCTAGAAGCGCCCTCGTGCGCCCTACCTTACGTGCGCCCTCGTGCGCCTTTCTATACTCGTGCGCCCTCGTGCGCCCTCGTGCGCCCTACCTTACGTGCGCCCTCGTGCGCCCCCGTGCGACCTGCCCTTCGGTCTGCCCGCGTGCCGTCCTGCAGCCCTCGCGCTGCCTCCTGCAAGCTAGTACGGCCCTCGAGCCGCCCCTGTAGGTCCGTCAGGCCCCCGAGCCGCCTCTGCAAACCCGTCAGGCCCCCCCGAGCCGCCTCTGCAGGCCCGTCAGGCCCGAGAGCCGCCCCTGCAGCCAGCGCGCTGCCCTGCCGAGCCGCGTGTCGCCCGTGGGCGCTGCCTCTGCCCCGTCGCGCTGCCCTGAGGAGCCGCG